AGCCTAATGCATTTTTATAAGCACAGTTTAATGTGACAATTCCAAAGCTGCCCTACCAAAGCAAATAAATAATGAGTTTTATATGACAGTAGAAGACACAAATAATTGCATCATTATATTGTCTCTTTGAAATACACCCTATAGTTAAACTACTGCTTAATATTTTAAAATACTTCATAAAAATAATTTAAAGCATCTATATATGTACATTTAGGTTGCACTTTTAATTTTCTCTTGAAATTCACTCAGCTGTGTTCAGATGCAGTGTCTTGATGTCACTTGTTAAACACAAGTCCCACTTACCTACACTATCCGCATCTAGTGAACTTCTGAAAAAATCATGCATGCAACACATGTTTCATGTGGTATCTATTGCTGCCTAATGCCTATAACCTCCCACAAGTCAGTCCTGCATTGAAAACCCTGCTTTGTCCTACTCGAAGTAAGGGTGAGGTCTGCCAATGGCACATATTTTGCAAAGCATTGGTTAGTAGAGAAGTGGCAAACCAAAATGTATTGTTTTCATTTTATTTAACCCCTTCATGACTGAGCTTTTTAGTTTCTGTTCGTAAATGACTGACACACTTTTGACATTTTTGCTGTGTGATACTTCCACGTCAGTAATATACTTTCTTACAAAGTGCACCCACACATATTATATATTGTTTTTTAGAGGACAGATAGGGCTACATATTTATATCACATATGTGTGTCTAACGCCTCACTTAGGACAAATAAAATATAAAAAAAAAAGGAAAAAACTTAAAAAAAAACACTTTTTTTCCCCAGTTTTGATTTGTAGTATTTTTTACAAAACCAGCACAGCTAAAAAAAAAAAAATGCAATAAATACATTCATTTATTTGTCCTTTTATTTTTTATTTTTTTACACTTTTTTTTTCTTTACACTTTTCACTATTTTTATTTTTTTTACACCTTTCACTATTTTTTAAAAAACTTTTATTTTATTTAATTATATCAAGCAGTCATTGTGAATTAATCTCACTATTACTGCTTGATAAATTAATACATTTTTGGTTATTATCAGGCTGCTTCAAACTTCAGAACAGCCGATAATAAGTTAGTGACACTGATCCTGCAGCAGTTCAGGATTCAGCTGTCACTAAAGGTTTTCTGATTGTTGCAACAACGATCAGCAAACAAACATTCTTCTTCCAGGAATAGATACATTGTAGGAATAGACACATTTTGTATCTATTCATGAAAGAAAAAAAAAAAGCCAGTATAGCTTGAGAGAGATATCTCTCGATCTATACGAGCTGTCAGAATGCCGGCAAAAGCCGGCATCTGTGTCCGCTTTGCTTTGACTCTCAGACACCCGATATTAAGGTATTAGGTGTCTGAAAAAGGTTAACCCTTTCATTAATGATTCTCAGCGGTTACCAGCCCTCTAATGCAGCAAATAACTCTTCACGTACAGTGTACGTGACGAGTCATTTGGTCCCTTTGTGGCGGGACGTACAGTGTACGTCTCCCGTCACAAAGGGGTTAAACATTTTAACGGTTCATACATGACAATAATATACATGAGGGCTAGTTGTTCACACGAGTCTGAGTAGTGCCTAAACCTATACTCTGGCCATGTCCAGCACTGGCCTCCTACCTCCTGTCTTTACATAGATATAGAATTAGTCAGGTTGAAAAAAGACACAAGTCCATTGAGTTCAACCTATAGAGATAAGAGAAGAAAAAAAAAGTCTACTCTGCCCTGCATTGAAAACCCTTTAAAGGTTATTGAGTCCTATCAATTGTGTTTCCTAAATGTGCACCTGTTCTTGACTGTTGTGCCAAGTGCAAAGAATGGCATGTAAGTAGGAACATGTCTTATAGACCAGTCTTTTAGAAGACCTTGTACACCTTACTGTTAAAATGCATTTTTTGGTGTTAAACAGATACTGTCACCTGACCATTAATTTCAACAAAAATGTTCCCATTTCAATTGGTAAACTGGTGATGAATAGCATCTGTATGATCTGTGGTGTATGCGGCATCCCAGGGAGAGAGCATACTCATACTACTCCTAGATACATAATACGTTATCCCTCTGTGGCCATGAAAGTTAGAGGTAACTTTGATCACTCCTATTAGAATTATCAGACACATGGAAGACACATTGATGGTTGAATTCTCTTTGGATGACTCTTTTTTTTCTGTGATATCCAACACTAGCTCTGACACACAGAGTGCTTGGATGTCTCCTAGTCTTCCCTTAAAGCATTGACCTTGCAAAAGGCCCACATTAAACAACATTTTCTAAAACAAAACTTGGTTCGAGGGGGAACAAACGAGAATGGTTTTGTCTCAGATAGCTTGGTTCCAGTAAGAAAAAATTACCATTAGAGCAATCGCCAATTATTCTGACACCATTGTTATAGATCAATGATGTCTTCAAGGTCTTCAGAGACTTTAAATCCTTGTACACATCCAGGGTCCAATGCCCAGGGAAGATCATAAGACCTTCTTAGATGGCATCATTCTTCTACAGCTGACTGCTAATGAATGGAATATTTTAGATGCTCCTCTGAGGCTCCTGGAATAAGAAGATGCAGTGGCTGGCTTCCTTAAAGTGTATTTCCACTTTTGCAGTCAGATTTGAGAAAACCACTCTACATTTTGTTGTGTGTTCCTATTCACACAGCATACTGAAAAATAACATTTTTAAAAAAATGTTACCTTTTCAAATGTTTTGTTACAGCAGGCAACATGGTTGATTCCAAGTTTTTCTCACCATCTTTACAGTTATCTGTCCTAATGGAAAGTTCTGGGACTGAAGTTTGAGGATTGTGGTTATCTGATCAGCTTCAATACCATGCAATGGACAAGCCACCTCAGACGCCTCACAGCCCCCCTAACAATTTAAAGAAAGAGAAGCAAAATAACTTTTAACCCTCAAAACCGTAGCCCAAAAAAGCAGTTTAAACTGCAAGATGCATATATATACGTTGTTGTTTCTGACGTTGTTGTTACTCTTTGGTGCCCTCGTTGTTTCGAAGAGCACAATACGTCGATACTTGAACAAAAATGAGCTGCATGGTCGAGTTGTCAGAAAGAAGCCTTTACTGCGCCAATGCCACAAAAAAGCCTGGTTAAAATATGCCCAACAACACCATGGCACACCGTAATTTGAAGTGACAAGACCAAAATAAAGCTTTTATGTGAATATTAAAACAAATAAAATATAGGTGTTATCCCAAATTGGCTGTGAAAGTGGAAATACGCTTTAATAACAAAGCTCTGGGTACTGATGGCATCCTCATTGAATTCTATAAACAATACGGTGACATACTCCTACCTATTCTGCTTAAAATGTTTAATGAGGCCATGGAGCTCCTGGACTTCTAATGACCTTTATGTGCAAAGCATCCATTGTTCTTTTTAAGGAGGGTACAAACCTCCTTCCTTTTAGGGGCTTGCTGCTTTGTTCTACTGCTAAATGATTTATTTGAATAAGCAGCAATAATAATGGTTTTCAGACACATAAGAAATAGCATACTCTGAGATTCTCTTGCCATCTTGTTCCTACAAAGTACACACTTTTGTTTGTGGTAATCATGGTAAAATTGTATGCATTTTCCCTGCTGTGTTTACAGTCTTTTTCTGTTTAGTCTGTGGGATTTCTTTCACATAGGCAAATCAGCCGAGACCTCAGTTTACATTTATGACATTTTTTTTCATCCAGTCCTCATTTTGCTTTCAGGATTTCATTGATTTCAAGATTCTCCTAGGGGTTATTTTGGAACTGTTTACAAAAGCTGTTTTTTTACATAAGTTTTAAACACTCCGATCTAGTAGAAGTGCAGGATTTTTAGTGAAGAGCTGCTGATATCCATAAATACACTATATGGTCAAAAGTCTGTGGACACCTGACTATCAAACCTCTGTGAGTTTGTTGGATCGAGTATTTTTTACCCGATCCCACATTGTTAGTGTGAGTTTTTGATTTTAGGATTTGCTATGTATTTGCGCAACTAGGGGTTGGCGCAACATAGGACTGTGTCTATGCCTAGTGGTGCACTTTGGTTGGATTCAATTCTACCTGTCAAGGTTTCTTACCCTTCCTTGTGCAGTTGCTTGCAGCATGGCTGTAGTGTTTCTTACGTTGTTGTTACTCTTTGGTGCCCTCGTTGTTTCGAAGAGCACAATACGTCGATACTTGAACAAAAATGAGCTGCATGGTCGAGTTGTCAGAAAGAAGCCTTTACTGCGCCAATGCCACAAAAAAAGCCTGGTTAAAATATGCCCAACAACACCATGACACACCTCTGGCACACCGTAATTTGAAGTGACAAGACCAAAATAAAGCTTTATGGTCACAGCCATAAGCACCATGTTTTGAGAGGGGTCAACATGGCTTATAGCAACAAGAATACCATCCCCACTGTGAACTTTTGAACAGGGGTCATTTCATTTTTTTAAATTTATTTATTGCCATGTTTTGTTATATGATTTGTAGGTCATAGCCGAATGGCCCAGTTAAATATGAATACCATAATAAATAAAAGAAATCTGTTATGCCTGCTGACTCATGTTTTACGCACGCGCACACACACACACACACACTTACTTTTGTAATTGAATTTAGATCTTTTTATGTTATATCTGTGAAGTAAAACATTGCCAGTAGATCTTGGAGCTTCAGCATGCAGTTTTACAAACTTCATCTTAATTGTTGCAGACTGGATCTATGAGGTAGACTGTTAATATTCACGCTTCACAAAATGTGCTATTGGATTTACTGTTTCAACTATCTATACTACAGCAATTCCCAGCTGTATAAAGGATGTTCGATTGGCGCTGTTCACCTCCCAATTGTTGCCACTGAAAGTGACAACAGACGCCACTAGTTAAGGCCTTTGCCAGATCAATAAATTTTATTGAGTTTAAAGGTGAATACATTTGACAAATGTTAGTAATGCAGCAAGTGTGGATGGGATTTGCTCTTTTTAAGCTAAATATTTTATGATGCAATTTTCCTTTCAGTGTTCCCCTCAGGAGTTTTTCTTATTAGTCAGCACATTGTGCCACTTGGAAAGCCAGCTCGAAGCATTGATTCCTGCCATTAAATCTCACGTTAAATCCACTTTGCTGAGGAAGATTTTCACTGAGATCCCACAAATCCTTAGTCCAGTACAAAAGTTTGCAGAGGTGTTAAATGAAGAGGCCGCCAAGTAAGTATTTTGTGCTTTTCATAGCATTGTGCATTATTCTGTTCTAAAATGTTCTATATCAGGTTTTATGGCCATACCCATCCAAAACTGATACAACTGGTGAATCAAGCAGTATATTATACTTCTTCTACGCTCAGACAGCAACAAACATCCTGCTTGCATTCTATACATCTCGTGGCAGTCATTATGACTCCATTTGAGGGTCCAATGCTTACCTAGGAGTAGCCAGGCAAGAGTGACTTTGGCAGGGGATGGGGGAAGTCAGGAGCTAAAATTGGGGATTCGGAAAGACAAAAGAAGGAATGCCCAGCAAGTCCACCTGAAACTGAAATGTCAGCTTTTTAGGGCTTTTCAAACAGTGTAGATACTCAGTAAATGTTCCTTCTTATCCTGCCACTACATTTGTGTCCCATCGTAACAATGGCTGAAAGAAGAAAAATTACAGTGGGGTTGATTTATTGATATCAGGTGTAAAAATCTTGTTTTTGTTTTATTTTCCGTGTATGTGATTAGTTTATTCTTTGCAAAGCTAATTTTCACCATATTCACTAAACTAAGTGAAAATTCCCTTTTGAGCATGAGCAGGCACTTTAGTAAATCAACCCCAGTGAGTCTAGGACTATTTTTAAGCATTGTTTTTAAAGCGAATTACCCTTGCAATGGCTACCCCTTCCCACTGCGATGGGTAACTGCTCATTTTGCCTAGGGAATGATAAATTGGGTGATATGCTTACCTTATTTATTGGTGGCCGGAGCTCTCCTATACTGTCCAACACTCTGGTCTGTGGCCAGGCCCTTTGCTTTCTCCTGTAAAGCATCCATCGGTACAATGCAGGACCAGCAGTCTGACATGAGAGAGCTATGACCTGAAGAGCGGTTGCACAAAGAGGAGGAAGCCAGTGGGAGCGAGGTATAAGGTAAGTATATCACCTTATCCATTATCCCCTTGGCAAAACTAGAAGTTACCTTTGAAATGGGGAGGAAGACCCACTGCAAGGCTTTACAGATTTTTGTTGTTTACTCTGAGATAATCCATTACTGGAGTTGTCTGCATGCAACCCTATGCCCCGCTCTACATCCACTACATGTCACTAAAATTTCCATGTATCCACTACGCTAAACCCAGGATACCTTCAGATGGTGGGTTTTTGCCAGCACGACTTTCACGGCCAGAGATTCACTGCTGTTTTCTTCTGTGGGATTACTGAACCAAAAGACAGATGCCTGTATCACGTTCTCTCTGCATGCAATCTTAATTTTTCTCTTGAATTAATCTTTTATTTTGACCACAGTAGACAAAGGTTTTCTTTTTAAGGCACAGCAAGCTTTCTTTTGCCCCTTTCCCTATTCTTCCTATGTGCCACCTGAGCCCCAATATATACTTCTGGGAATGGGGAAATCTATAACACCCCCATTTCTTCCCCATAATGTGGCATTGGATGCCCGAGCAGCCACCACCAGGTCAACATGGGAAAGGTGAGGAGATTGCTGAGGGTGCCCGCCATAAAGCAAACCTGTACCCTTTCCGAATATGGGCAAAGTACATGTTTGTTTTAACTGTCATTGGTTTTGATACGCTCCCTAAATTATTTCATGGCCATAAATAATACTCATAGTTAATTAATTTCTTTCAGCTTCATTGTTTCTTTAACCCAGATTGTTCTTGTTTTAGGATTGGAAACAAAACTGAACTTTTTAAAGATCTCACAGATTTTCCAGTAGTCAGTGAAAGGAAGACGGAGATCCAAGAAGTGATTTCACAAATTCAGGGTCATCTTACTGATGTCCGAAAAACATTGAAAAACCCTTCCATTTCTTACACTACGGTGTCTGGGCAAGAGGTGGTGATATATAAATAACAATACTTGTGTTTTTGTTCATGGTGTTTGTGTGCAGTTCTTTGACTTTTGTATTATAAAAGATTCAGTGCTCTTGTACATGAAATAATGAAGTCTCGTTAAGGGAAAGGGTTTTGTACAGCTCAGTCTTTACATGGCTGATGTACCAGAAGTAACGCATTACATTAGCCTCTAGTGTCTAATTACCTATTTATCATTTCCCTTAATAGTCATTGTATTTGCTCACCTTCCGAAGTGTATTACTGTGTGTAATCATCTGGAACAGGTTGTGTCTGGCTTTGGTATTTATAGACGTTTAGGCCATTTCTTTTTAATTTATAACCAACCTCTTTTAATGAGACAAAGCGTTACCCAGATGTCTTCCATTGGTTTCACTACGATAAACAACTTCAGCAAAGAACTTTGTGTAGAGATAGAAAGAGGTTCGGACTTCTGTCACTTTCCTACTTCTGTCTGGGTCCCCATTCAGAAATTTCCCTTCACTTCTTTTACTTTTGTCCTTCTGGTCAGGATAAAGTGATTGGAGGTCTTTCCATTAGTAAAAAAAAACAACCATTTTTTATTATTAGTAGAGCTGGAAAATGTTAAACTCACCACAATGTTTTGGCTTGGCTTTATTATGGGTTTCTGTAATTGAATTAATTTATCAAAAAGGCTCAGGTCTAAGCAAAAGCTGTCTATAGTCTCGAGTGACAGAGTTGTGTTAAACCTAATTATATAACTTATTAAAAGTTTGTTTTCTGTTTTTGAAGCTAGAATGCCTACTTGTGTGCATATTAGCTGATCTCCTAAACCAGGCACCTGGGGGTTGATTTACTAAATGCACATAGACTGTTCACACTGCAAGGGAGCTTGCACTTTGCAGGGAAGGTTTCCCTTAGTTCAGGAATTAGGTGACATTTTACTTTTCAAAGAATAACCAACCTTGTGCAAGGACAATTTTAAAAAAACAGCATTTTTTCCTTGCATGTCATTGGGTGAAGGAAGTCAGCAGAGCTTCATCACATTCACTAAACCAAGGGGAAACCTTCCCTGCAAAGAGCAAATTATCTTGCAAAGTTAACAGCCTATTTGCCTTTAGTAAATCAATCTCCTAGAATAATTTGTTGTCCGTTCTCACCCTATGTTAAGTGCATTGTAAGTATGTAGAAGGCATGTTGCGTCTGTGCCCACCACCATTGTCTTGACTGATACATGATGCACAGAAAGAAAATCCTACCTTAGATGTTCTTGATCTAGTCTTTGATCTAATCCTTCTATGGTGTGCCAATCTGAAGAGGAGTGGTCACTTGCAGCTCTATGTTTTTCTTCTCTCACATGTGTATGACTCTTAGAGGTATGAGACCCCACAAACCGTAACGGGTCTACTTATTAATGTTTTCACACAAGATTCTCACAGCTTTTACCCACGTTTTACACATTTTGTCTAACATTTAATAACAAGAATTATGGGTTGTGTGAATCTTGTGTGAAAACATTTATATCAGGACTGTTTGTTGAGAGGTATGTGTTGACCAGGCCATGTTCTCCTTTTGGTAGCTGTGAACCTTTTGAGGTTTATTAGATTTAGGTAAACTACTATATCCAGTCTTTTAACTTGGAGAAACTGTATTCACTTTCAAACAGGTGAACAGACAGCCGAATAGTGAGGTATGCACATACAGGTTACCCCACACATCGTTTACTCCCTAAGCTTTGAAACCCAGAAATGTGTTATACAAATGCCATTTCCTATTAAGAAGTCTACCCTTGGATCTGCTGCCTGTGCTCTTCTTTTTGAGTGCAGCCTGTAAAATATTTACCTTGCACCCCATTCCAACATTCTACACTGTGCATCCCTGCCCAGTGCTGTACAGCCTTTACAGCAAAAACCTGGGTTGTTTTCTTAATGTACAAGTGCACCATGGCCTTATTCAGTCCTAAAGGTGAGTTCAGCTGTACCTTATTGGATGGCCAAACACTGCAGCTCTACCAGGCAGAATGCATGTAGGGGGGAGGGGGTACAGTTGTCGTTTTAAAGTGTTGTTTGTCAAGCCAAAACAGTATTCTTTAGTTTTATATAGAGTGGGGAAGAGCTAAAACTCCAGGTTTGTACTGCTATTGGGGGCTCCATTAGGCCTGGTTCACACCTAGACATTTCTGAGCAGTAGAAAAAGCCCTTCAAAACATCCAACACAGGAAATCCCATGATTTTCAACGGCCCCTGTTCACACCTGAGCAGCAAAACAACAAATACACGTAAAAGTACATACGCTTCTTTTGGCAGTTTGCACCGCATTCCAGCCCCCCCGACTTCAATGGAAACGTCAGGAAACACACAACGGAAGCATGTTGCACATTTTCATGGGCATTTGTACACGCGTTCGTCCATTGACCGCAATGTTACGCTGCGCATCAGGTGTTACCCCATTAGAGGATTCCCCCTCACCTCCCGACAATGGTCCTGAGAACAAATAGATGTGTGATTAGATAGGGATTCTCCCCACTTATGATTTAGTTTTTACAAAACTAATTGCAAAAATAAAAAATACTCTTGCCTAAAATTCCTTTGTTATAATCCAAATATTTAAACTCTAGCATTGCAGCATGAAAAACCCTTGCCTTCTTGTCATCAGTAGCAGAAACGTTTTTAAGATATGTAAACTTCACCTCTCTGCATCTGATATTCACTGCGATGCAGATGACTTCCCAGTACCCTTCTCAAAAGCAGGACCACTTCCCTCTTCTAGGTTATTTTCTATCTGCAGGCTGAGATTCGGCCGCAGAGATGTAACATCCTTTGTATTGTAGTTGTGTGGTTGTGCTATCAGTGTGCCTGCTATTAATCATTTATAAAATAGCTATTCTTCCAAGTATTGCAAGGATGTATTTGAAAAGGAAGCCGTATATCACATGGAGAGATCAAAAGCTGGGCTTTATCTTGAAAAACTAATCAATAGGCATTTCAGCCTTTTGCACATTTTTTACTGTAGCACATTTTATCTTGATACATTGTGCTAGAGTAAAATACGTGGTTCATATTAGTTTGGGGTATGTACTATTTTATAAGGCTACAACTGGAAACTAAGAGTTCATATAACATGGCAAAGGATTTAGTATTCTGTTCAGCTAGTCTCATAATCTTGGCTCTCCTCCCAAACAATATGTCCAAATTTGTTACCTCACTTTTCTGCAAGCCTGTAGAGATGAAGTAGTTATAAGTTACAATAGAACATGGGCACCTTAGGATGTAGATCATTGTTTCACAGTACCAACTAGAGTGCTCAGTGTTCACTGATGGAGTGCCTTTCAAATTCCCATGCAAATACAGGCTTTCTGGAAATTTGTATTTGCCTAAGGATATGCACATTCCTCTCCATGTGGCAGTGCTCATGTCTGCATTTAGATTGTCAAAATACAAAGCACTGCATTGTGAGAAAGAAGAAGGGGGGATTAATATTTCCTCTACACCAGCAGGTGGGGATTTCTTGGAGGGACAGTCGATGGAAGAGTAAAAGTATGATCTAGAATCCTATGGTGCTTGCTGCTCAGTAACTTGAGTTCACATGCACTTTATCATTAAATGTTTACATATAGAAAGCAAACCACCAACCCACCCCAGATTGCTGATCAGAGAATGTAAGGCCAAATGTTAGGTAGCAGCATTATGTAATGTAGCAAAGGTGACTTACAGTGCTGTCTCTCCCATACTAAGAGCTGCTGTGGAGTAAAATAAACTAATTGAAGATTATTGTGCTTATATATTTAAAGGAAACCTGCACTGCCATTAAACTTAAAAATCTGCCAATACATCTACACAGCAGATACTCAATATTCCCTTTATGTAAATACTGTCTTCATTCCCAAACTTTACTCTTGGCCTCACCCGTTTCGCCTCTCCATTGGTTGGTGTGGAAGAGGGCAGAGCTAAGGGTAAAATTCAAGAATGAATTCAGAAGTCATATAACAAAGTAACCAGGGTTCAGGCTCCAGGTGCACAATGCTGGATTGCTGTATGTCCCTCTTGTCTAGACATCATAGTAGTTGTAGCAGTTTAAAGGAGAACTATGAGGTGAGTGATTTTCACTCAACCTCTTAGTTCGAGCCGACGTGTGACAATGAAACTGTCACATGTCGGCTCAATAGATCGGGAAGTGAGCGAACACATACCGTCGCTCGATCACTTCTCAATCCTGTCCATGCAGAGAGCTGTGACTGTCATTCCCTGCAGGGATTCCCCCCCCCCCCCTTCCCGCTCTGATCCTCTAGCGCTGACTGGCGGAGCGTATGCGAGAGGGGGCGGGTACAGCTGGCTCTGCCTCTAGATTGGCAGAGCCAGCTGTCAATCACGCAGCTGGGTGGATCTCGTCAGTAATGTTGGGATCCGTCCCGGCTGCGACGGTCTCAGGATCACGGGAGGATGCTAGTTTATGTCCTCCCGTGACCCTTAGGAGAACTATGGGGATAAATAACAGGATAAAATTACATTCTCACAGGACGTCAGCAGTGACAAATCTGCGTTTTTCTCAATACGTGTTTCCTTTAATCAAAATTGTGTGCAAAATGATGTTGGTAATAACTAGTCCCTAATAAGGTTTAGTATTTCTGTGAAGTGATTGTATCTTTTATTTTCTTATAATTCTGTAGTACAAAACCTGGATTACATTTTGTTCTTGCATTGCAAATTTGATTTTACTCATGTTGGATTTTTTTTAAAGTTTTTAATTGAAGTGAAGAATTCCTTGGTGTCCAGTGTGCCATCCAACTGGGTCACTGTAAGCAGGTATGTGCTTGGCTTGTATATGTTGTCCCCCATTAAAATAAATGTTAATATTCAGGTGATTTCTTCCATTTTTAAAAATTAGGTATGATTTATTTCCTCCATTGTCTACACACACACTAATGTGTGGGAGTTCAGATGTGTGAATGGTATACCTGTATTGCCACTATATACCATAGCAGCTATTTTTCAAATTTATACCGAGAGCACACACCTGGGTTGTAAAATCTATATCAGAGATAGGCAAACACAGCACAGCTGTGGTCAACCTGCATATCTCATCATGCCTCTGAGAGTCATGCCTGTGGCTGTCAGAGTCTTGCAATATCTCATGGGACTTCCAGAGCAGCTGGGAAGTGGAGGCTTCCTACCCCTGATCTATATGATATAAACCATCTGGAGTTAACCTTCAGAAAGTATTTGAGGGTCAAAGAGAACAGTTAAAGGCATATACCATCTGTGTTTTTCTGTGAGGTTACACTGTGCAACACTGGTGGCACAGTGCCTACAACTTGCTTATTAGTTTCAGATGGTATTGCTTGATCTGTATATACTCATGTAGTCTTGAACACTGTTTCACCAACTGGTATGTCCTTGGAAAAGTATGGATTTGTACTGTTCACCTGCTTTTTACTGAATGTAATTGAACCAGTTTCCCAAACTACCTGATTGCAGCCATTATGTACCCAGTGCACACTTGTTTGCAGCCAAATTGGGATAACACCTACTTTATATTTGTTACATGGTCCCATCAACATAACATACTTTAGAAATGCAAGCTGCAATTTTTTAAAGTTTAAGTGTTTTGTTTTTTAAAAATCCTACCTAGCTTTCCCCTATTAATGTTAAGGAGGGGCCTGTGGAGTTAATGTCTAAACTAGAATTAGACGTCCACGTTTGCCCTAACAAAGGGTTAACAATCTCAGGGCATCGTATGTTAATGAGGGGAAGCTCTATCCCCAGTTTGTCGATCTGGAATTGCTCAGAATAGCTGCAGTCCTATGTCCCATCCCGCTCCAAAGAAATAACAACAAAGGTAACACATATTTTATCTTAAATATCTTTTAGGTATGCTGTGTAACAAATATATACTGGGGGGTTATTAAATTTGACTGCAAAGTTGAAGTACAATTTAAAGTATATTTCCACTTTTGCAGTCAAATTTGAGACCCCCCCCCCCTATGTGTTTGTTATGTGTTCCTATTCACACAGCATACCAAAAATAATAGAAAAGAAAATGTCTTACCTTTTAGATGTTTTGTTACAGCAGACAAGATGGCTGATTCCATGTTTTCCTTAGCCCTTTCACAGTTGTCTGTCCCAATGGAAGGACATAGAACTGAAATTTGAGGATTGTGTTTATCTGATAAGCTTTGTTAGCATACAATGAACAAGTCACGTGTCAGGAAGCAGGGGGCGTTACCTCTACTCGGGGACCACGGGCACGGCGCAGGGCACGGGTTCCCCTTCAGCTCGGTAGAACACCTGGTGCCCGAGGTGCAGGTGCGCATGCGCGAGTCACGCAGTACGCAGGCTGTGCGCGCATCCCCGGGATCATAGCGTTCCTGCATCATCTGGCTATCAGGTGTGAGCCTTGCTGGGGGAGGTTCCCAGTACACACCTTCCATCTTCCTCGCCTGCCATTGGTTCCCGGGGAGGGAGGCCTCCTGGTAGCCTCGGTGACCTGGGGGTGGTCCTACCTCCCCTGGCTATAAAAACCTGGCCTGAGCTCTGGCTTATTGCTGAGTTATTCCACCTTATGGTGAACACCTAGCCTCCCTGCTGATCCTCCTATTGCCTGTTGCCCCTTTGTATCCTTCCCGATTACCGACCCTTGGACTGTCTTCCGCCTTTGAACCTTCGCTGCCTGCCTCGACCCGGATTGGACATTGACTACCCCTCTTGGATTAACTCTAAACTTGTACCGCGTTTCTGGACTGTCTGCTGCTTACTGCCAGTGGGTTCCTCATCTCACTACTAGCTCCCTGGGACGTCTGACATCACGTCAGACCCCTCACATCCCCTCCGAACATTTGAATGTCCCCTTTACTAAGCCCTAACACTAATGACCCCTCTTTCTGCATACTCATCTCATCCTTGTACTGGTAGCCTGTCTACACAATGCTTTAAGGATAAATGCACTTTTTGCTTTTGAATCATGAAAATTTGCTGCATCATAACTCAAAACTAAACATTATTCAATAATTGTTATAACAAGTAAGCACTTGTTCATTTTATTGCCCTTTATTTAAATGTGATCCAATTACCACAACCCACTGGGAAAAGTTACACTGCACATAAGATTAGTAGGGTTTACAGCCGTTTATTTGTTCAGTTCATAAAAATGCTCACAAACATGTATTATGAAATTCTGTGAAAGACATTCTCACTGCTCTTCACCATAGTAACCTGCTGCTCTATTTATAAGAAGGGATATGTGAATCAACAGAGCCCAAGTCCTCCATAATGGAGCTATTTTTTAATGTCAATCCATTTATTCTGATGTTTTGGTGGAAGTAAAAAAAAAAAAAATCTTGAGTCTAATTGTTCTTAGTGATTATATAACTGATTGCTTAGTAACCTTGATTTCGTATTTTTTCCTCTCTTCTCAGTACAAAGGCTGTCAGTCGCTTCCACTCTCCTTTTATTGTAGAAAATTACAGACATCTGAATCGGCTTCGGGAGCAGTTAGTCCTTGACTGCAATACTGAATGGCTACATTTTCTTGAGTGAGTTCTTCAAACAGTCATTAAACATTTATAGAGAATTTGCTTGTAGTGCTGGATTGCTGTACCAGAGACGAACATTATTGGTCCAGCAGCAGAATGGGAGAGGTATCGCTCTATGGATTGATATACACCACTGTTAAGAATGAAATGGCCTTTTAACATGAAGTGTATACAGTAAAGTCTGGATATTAGGAGCCAAGGAATGAGATCTGGATTAGCTCAATACACAACACAGATTACTGCCCTCATCTCTATGTTCTCTGCCAGCATTGTATGAAATGTAACTGGCCGGAGGGCTCACATAACTCTTGTCTTTACTGCATGTTAGTGGCAGAGATGATAAAAGCATTGCTGGCCGTTTTTAAAAGAATTTACAGAAATGTGTTTTTTTTTCTGGTGAGCTAATGCTTTTAAGCTCATTAAAGGAGAACTCCGCTCAGGATGAATATCACTAATAAATTAAAGTGATATTAAATTCAAAAGGTTTTTAAGCCATTTCAAATTCTAATGAAATCACTTACAATGGATGCTGATCATTGATGTTTAAAAGTTTAGTTTCCTGAATTATCAGTTGGGTCCCCTGAGCACTGGCCCTAATATCTTGTTTTAGGGTGGCTCCTTCCTCTTGGAGTAACCCTTGTGTGTGCTAGTAAGCTGTGCGTTTCTCCACCAACACACAGGCACAGCAAGGCAACCCACTCTCCTGCTCCGTATATCCCTCTCCTACTTCCTTCCCCTTTACAGCTAGTAAGCCTGTCTTTACAGTAAACTTGCTGAACTTCTTAATGAGAGAAATCATGTATATGGACTACAATACCTGCAGTTTGAAGGTCGAATTGAATTGTGATGGGAGTACTTCAGACTTGTCAGCAGCTGGTTTGGCAACTCAACCAGGGATTGGGGTAGCACTTTGATTCCTACATCTTCAAGGTTCTTATGGCTGTCTTCCTGTTAGAGAGCGTTTTACTCTATATTAGTCCTGTTGACTGTTGTCACATGGACTGAAAGTGAGGGAATTCCACAATTTTAGGATGTCACCAGAACAGGAATAGCTGGTAAATCTTTTAGTTAAGACATTTGTTTTGGTGACAACTGTCTATGAGGGGATTTCCCTTACTTTGGAGGGATTTCTTCTCAGTTTCTGTTGTGTTTACAGGACAGGTAAAGGAAAATGTCTCCAGTGGGAGACTGATGGCAATTGAAAACCTGACAATAGTTCTAACCATTGTTTGCTCTCTGCACAATGAAATCTGTTTTTGGCTTCATGTAGAAATACGTTTTAATTTTTTTTTCCTGTTTTAAACAGACCTGTCTTATATGCCGTAATCATTTTACCACTTTTCTTGCCTCTTCCATATGATATGAAATCTTCAACCCAGGCATTCGCTGGGCAAATGTGTATGGTTTTCCCCCCACTAAATGGAGCCCAGGAGCATATGAAATTCCATGCGAACGGCATTTGCTCAAAATATGGCTGGGTGGAAGATTTAAAAAACAGCCCCTACATGTGCTATGCTTCAGTATATAATGAATAATAAACAATGTCTGTATCCTATTGCCCAACGTTAAATATTTTATATTTATTACAATACTACATAAATATATAATTAGCTTTAATGTAGTTTAACTTTTTTGGCAGGCTCTCCTTCCATATAGAGTTTTCTTGTAATAAATGTGTATCAGATTAGCTCTACATATACACAAATACAGCCAGAGTCTACTTTTCATAGCAACAGGAAAATACAACTTTAATTTCACTTGTACAACAGTTCCCTAACCCTTTAATATATCAGAACATAGCCTTTGGACACTACTGGTTTACTGTTAAATTACCCTAGAGGAGTCAGTTGGTGGAGAGTAAAATTGGTTATATTAATCAATTTGATAGATGCTTCTAGTGATGTCTGTAACCATAAGGGATTAATAATGTACACTTTCTACATTCCTATTTACTGGCAACACAACTATGTCGTATTAAAAGAAGGTAACATGCAATTCTAATAATGTTTTTTTTTTCAAAGCTCTATTTGTTTTTTTTTGTCTTGCTATGATTTTGCAGCATTTATAATGTATGTATGCAGCTGTTTAACACAGTCTCTTGTCTTAGGGCTTGCTGTGTTCCAGAGCGGGAGCTGCTGGAACACACCGCAATCGCTCACAAAGTCAATGGCACCGCAGCCATGCCCCCCCCGTCACCATCCCCCACCCCACCCGTCCACACTGCGATCGGACGCGTGGCAAAACATTGCTTGCGTTCAGTTCCACTTCAAATGCAAAAAATAGAGCAAGGAGCATTTTTTGCGTTTGCAGTGGAATGGAACACAGGCAATGTTTTGCCACTCGTCCGATCGCACTGCCGGCGAGGGTGCACGGCTGCGGTGCCATTGACTGCAAAGCACTTCCACGCCCTCTCCCACCCCAGAACGTAGGGGGAAGTTTTGTGAGCGATGGCGGTGCGTTCCAGCAGCTCCCACTCTGGAACGCACCGCAATTGGTGTGAACAAGTCCTTAAAGTACAGATTATGGTGAAAGTATACATAGGATTCCTATTCATTACTTTTTTTCATGATTGTGATTAATGGGCACGTGTAAAAATTAACAACTAATATTGTAAAATGATAGTGATTTAAGTGAATGTGGAACCAAATCAAAGTGATATAAATAGTACTATATTTTTTCAAATGTGTATAGTTATATAAAAAAAATCATGACATGTGTATAATTAGTGTTAAATAGAAAAGTCTTATTAAATAAATATACATATATTGTAGATAGTGATAAAAAGTATTTTCCCATGGTATAAGTGTGAGAAAAAAACATATCCAATAAATGTGAACCTAATCTAACATGATAAAAGAGATATTCTCCCATGGTATTCACCTCAAAAATCCTTCAGCTTATGAATAATATATCCAATGTGCCATACTTGATTTTTATAAAACTACTTTATACTAATAACTATAAATTATTTAAATGAGTTTTTTATATATCCAATATTATCTGCTAAATAACGTAAAGTTCCAAACATTCCTCTTCTAAGGTGGTGCATAGACACAAATGGGTGTCTTCCACCCTACCATTCTATAATATACAAATTTGTATGATCCACCAAAGAAAGTGAGGCACCACACCCCTATATTAACCCATCCAACACTACATAGAAAATGGGGCTTTTAAGGTGCCACATTATGAATGAGAGGACATAAATCAAATATTGCATAATTTATTGATAAAAAACATAGAATAATGAACTGGAAGACATTGTAAGGAAGTTAATGACAATATATGTTTTAACATGTAATGGATGTGTTGTTTATTATTCTATGTTTTTTTATCAATAAATTATGCAATATCTGATTTATGCTCCTCTCATTCATAATGTGGCACCTTAAAAGCCCCATTTTCTATGTATTGTGGGATAGTTTTAGTCGACTAAAATGTCAATATATTTTTGCTATAGATTTAGTCATCATAACTTTGTATTTACTTAGTTTGTCTTGTTTTAGTCACTGAAAAGGTGTCGTTGACGAAAACCATAACAAATTATTAGTCAACTAAATTAAAACTCTGGATGGATTCAGGACTCCCTTTCACACCCTTCAAAGTTGTTGTTTTAGTCAGTTTCAGGGTTTTCCCTTTCAGGCAATCTCTATAGGCATGGGGTCTCTTGTTCTTTTACCCTTATTAGGTCAGGTGGGTAGAGGCTCAGGGCCTTCTTACTTTGACTGGCTGGCCTTCCTTTACATGTTGGTCCTGTTTATGTGTCTGTAAGTTCCCCTATCAGGCAGAGGATTCAGCCTCATTCGTTGATATATAGGCGTTGGTCCTTCAGGTAGCTCTTGGGCTGCAGGCAGTCCCCAGCAATGTTGTAGCTGGACCTGTTAGCAGTTGTTACTATTGGCCCACACCCCTCAGTTTGACTGCTGTTGGACATCCCAATCAATAGTAGATGACTTAATGTGTCCCTCAATAGATGAGAAAAAAATAAATTTTGTACTCCATAAAATCTCTTTTTCTTGGAGTCCGTTAAAGGACACAAGTCCTACCCTGTGTTATTGATCATGCTCTTGGTACCCCTCGATACAAACTGAAGTATGCTGGGAAAAGGAGGGGTTATCCTAAGCTGGTTTACATATTTATGTGTCCCACTGTCCAAATCTTTCTGTAGGCAGCAGTATAACCTGACTTCCTGTGTCCCTCAATGGAGTCCAAAAAAATGGATTCTATGGTCAGTACAAATATTCTGTTTTACATTCTAAGCGATACATTCAGAAACAAGAAACAGAATTGGAACTTAGTTTTTAGATTTTCCCTTTAAAGGTAAAGCGAGAAAAAAGCAGGAATGCCTTATTTTGGCACTTGAAGGATTTCCTACTACGTTTTTTCTTTTTTTTGGGGGGTGGGGGGGGGGGGGTTCCAAGGGTTCTTTTGGGGGAGGGGGGGTGAGAGTTCCAAGAGTTCTATTGGTTACCATAACATACATATTGTAGTAGTGTTGCCTGCACACGATTCAAGTTTCTAATTAATGTTGTTTTATTTATAGTAAATTTGGAGAACATTATCATTCAGTGTCTAAAGCTGTTAATCACCTAGCAACTGCTGACTGCATTTTCTCTCTGGCGGAAGTGGCAAAACAAGGCGGTTATTGCAGGTAAATCTATTTAGTGTCTGCATGTTCTTTTGTAACCTGTATATCGTACATGTAGTATAATGTATTTTAATGAAAACTAGAGGAAAGGAAAAGTAAGGGTATTTCCCAGCAATTAGATGTAAATGTACAGAAATGAATGTAGAAAATTACAATAAATGTATAATGAAAGTACTTGAGTCAAAATTGATATTAAACCCTAAAGCAGATCTAAACCCTAATGAGTTGGCATTTAGTTTGCTAAAGCACTGTGTATTTAAGCAGTTTAAATGTATTTGAAAACAAATAAAGAAACATGTTTTTACCTTTTTTTTGCATCTGACTCCAGTCTACATTATAGCACAGCAGATGTGGATTTTTGGCACTCAAAAAAGTTGCTGTTTAGGAAAGTTGCCCTTTACGTTTCCTAACCTGCACCGTTTTATGTTTTTGCTAAATCAAGTTCTACTGTATTTCTGGAATGATGTACACTTTTCCCTAATAAAAATCTGTGTCTACAGGCCAGCTGTTCATGACCAGGGATGTGAAATAGTCATAAAAAATGGTCGACATCCTGTAATTGACTTGCTTCTAGAAGAACAAAATCAATACGTTCCAAACAGTACCAGCCTTTCAGTAAGTAAAGATACACATTTTTGGCCCTCTCAAGGAGAGGGCCAAAAGACATTCTGTAAAAGACAGAAGACATTCTGTACTCATATTCACCGAATAACATAAACTTGTTGTTGACATGTGAAGACTGATTTGCTAAAGGAGTTTAGAATAAGTGAGTGTTGATTCACATTAATCATCCAGTTATGTGTAAAACAAATTTTTATTTATTTCATCTGTACATTTTTGGGTATTTAAAATGAACAGAGCTACAATTTATTTAGTGAACATTTTCAACTCCTTTGAGTGAATTGGCTTTGGGGTGTATAGTACATTTATTCATACCATTCAATTTAACCCTAAAAAGGCGCTGATGAGAGTTATTAACAAAAATTCTGGGTGCACCCACTGCCGGCCGCCGCAATATGCAGCCTCTTCTCCCCACCTGAAGCTGCTCCAATCTAGGATCTATTTCTCTTCGGATCCCCTCTACTCTCTGGGGGCGGAGCAGAGCCGCTGATTAGGATGGCCTGTAGGTGAGGGAAGCAGAGCTGCCGGCTGTCACTTTCACTTTGGCCAGCGGCTCTGTGATCTGTGCCTGGCCGAGCGGCTCAGGATGGAGAGCGGAGGATCAGTAAATATCTGTGATATTTACCGGTCCTCTGTGCGCTGATCACTCCAGTGTTTGTAAACAACTGGGGACACAAGAGAAATGTCAGGGGTCTGTTTAGACCGCTGATATTTCCCCTAAGCCCTCCCAACAATTTAAAAATAATAATAATTGCAGAATCCCTAAAATTAGTAGTAGAAAAAGATGAAAACACACAATGCACGTGCACCATATTGTGGTGTACGAACATGTACATGTGCTGCGGTGCGTTATTACTTTATTACTGTGCAAATAACAGATACACCCATACAAACGCTTCCCAGATTCTCTCATGCGTTTTACCAACCAAGGCTTAATCATGGAGATAAAGTTCTTATCGCTATGTGTAAGCCTTGGCAGGTGAAATGCGTGAGAGCATCAGGGGAGCATTTGTATGGGTGTATCTGTTATTTGCACAGTAATAAAGTGTGGATTCAAGTTAAAAGATCTATGGAGTGCGGCTACTGTTTGTACCTATATTCTTCTGGACTGTTCTGTGGATGGGGACTCCTCTGAAAAAAATTACCTACCGTATATACTCGAGTATAAGCCGACCCGAATATAAGCCGAGGTACCTAATTTTACCACAAAGAACTGGGAAAAATATTGACTCGAGTATAAGCCGACCCGAATATAAGCCGAGGTACCTAATTTTACCACAAAGAACTGGGAAAAATATTGACTCGAGTATAAGCCGACCCGAATATAAGCCGAGGTACCTAATTTTACCACAAAGAACTGGGAAAAATATTGACTCGAGTATAAGCCGACCCGAATATAAGCCGAGGTACCTAATTTTACCACAAAGAACTGGGAAAAATATTGACTCGAGTATAAGCCGACCCGAATATAAGCCGAGGTACCTAATTTTACCACAAAGAACTGGGAAAAATATTGACTCGAGTATAAGCCGACCCGAATATAAGCCGAGGTACCTAATTTTACCACAAAGAACTGGGAAAAATATTGACTCGAGTATAAGCCGACCCGAATATAAGCCGAGGTACCTAATTTTACCACAAAGAACTGGGAAAAATATTGACTCGAGTATAAGCCGACCCGAATATAAGCCGAGGTACCTAATTTTACCACAAAGAACTGGGAAAAATATTGACTCGAGTATAAGCCGACCCGAATATAAGCCGAGGTACCTAATTTTACCACAAAGAACTGGGAAAAATATTGACTCGAGTATAAGCCGACCCGAATATAAGCCGAGGTACCTAATTTTACCACAAAGAACTGGGAAAAATATTGACTCGAGTATAAGCCGACCCGAATATAAGCCGAGGTACCTAATTTTACCACAAAGAACTGGGAAAAATATTGACTCGAGTATAAGCCGACCCGAATATAAGCCGAGGTACCTAATTTTACCACAAAGAACTGGGAAAAATATTGACTCGAGTATAAGCCGAGGGGGGCATTTTTCAGCACAAAAAATTTGCTGAAAAACTCGGCTTATACTCGAGTATATACGGTAATTAATTATTTTAGGTTTCATAACTTGCATCAACCTAAAGTGGTATTAAACTGTCAAACTTGTTTACTATAATGGACACATATTAAACAAATATACATTGCCCAGCAAAGTATTTCTTTAAATTTTGTGCCCAAGCACTTAGCCATCATGTTTCCAAACAGCTGGCTCCATCTCTCTCAGCTCGGCATCCCTGAACTTCCTGACCTGTACAAGATCACAAAGGACAGAGCAGCCTCCAGAGCTGTCCATCTACTACAAGGCTGGCCTTGCTGTGTTTGTGGAGACGCACACAAAAGTGTCTCAATAGAGCCCTGCAAGGGAAAGGAGCCACCCTAAAATTAGATATCAGGACCGGTGCTCAGGGGACCAGCTGATTCAGCAGGAAACTAAAACTTTTAAACATCAAGGAGCAGCATACATTGTAAGTGATTTAGTCAGCATTTGAAAAATGTTGGCTTTAATATCGCTTTAAAGGAGGTTTGAAAGTGTTTTAAAAGTGATATACTGGTGATATAAAATAATTGCATTGTATCTAAACCTCTGTTTTTAACCTTAGCGGTTAGACAGGTTTTTTTGCATGCTAGCTGGTGAATGTGCCTGGAAACATTTTGCTGTTGTACTGTTTGAAGCCCTTCCATGTGCACCTTGCTTTAAAGCTGGTGATAAATTGATGAGTGTGTTTGCCATTTGTTTTGCTTGCCTGATTTGGTGCAGTGACACATTGGGGATCTCAGCTGCCGTTGTGATGTGCGGGGTCCCTTGTGTGTCCCTGTGCCTTTTAAGGGGGTTGGGCTGCCTCCTGGCAAACCTGCACCCAATTTTATCTTTTGCTACATGTGCTCCAAGATGGAGACTCTCATAGTTTAGAGTTAGGCCCGCACTATATAGAGGTGCCTTGGTGCCTTTCACATATTCTGCAGAAGAAGTGTATCTAAAACCTCTGTTTTTAACCTTAGCTGTTAGACAAGTTTTTTTTGCATGCTGGCTGGTGAGTGTGCTCGGAAACTTTTTGCTGTTATACAATATCAGCATACGCTCTTCACTAATAGTAAATTTGGTATGAACCCTCGTTCGACTGTAGCTCAAATACCCCATCAAGCATAGTCAAATATCGATTTTGGAAATAGTTTGTTGGCCATACTAACCAACCAATTTTTGATGATGTGCTGTGTTCCTGCGAATGAAAACCCCACTGATTTATCTATTTATTTATTTTTTGTTCGGTCAGAGAAAAATGTTCCAACCTGACCGATCAAAAGATTTTGATCACAATATCAAAAACTAAAATAGGTTATGTGCCATCAACTGTTCAATCCCTACTAGAATGACCATTTGTGTATGAATTCCAAATGAGAATCATGAATTGTATGCCCACCCTAACACAATAATCTTCATGTAATAGCAGATTGTGTGATGACAGAACACATATAAATCCAAGGAGCACCATATTCTTTTCCTCATTTCCCATTGGTCCTTGAGATTGGATAGCCATTCGGCTGAGACACATCGCACTTTAGTTGTTGATCCTCACCAGTGAAGGTATATAGTATATATAGTTAACCATGCACGAGTCAGTGTTATCTCAACATCTAGTGGTGTTGTGTTATCACAGCCAAGAAGCCTGTCTAGCATGGATATGTTCAATATGCGTAGCGGTTATTTAAATCAGGCTTTGGTAAATGCATCATCTGACATAATAGACCGACTTCATCGTTGTCTGTTAAGTGCAAACTTGCCATTTATGTGTTTCTATTTCCATATTCATGTAGGCTTCCTGTAGAAATCTGTTGCTATGGAGAGGAGCAGTCTACATTTTTAATGCTTCACTTGTTTTTAGTAAGGTTTGCAAAGTACTTTTTTATCCGTTTTTAATGTAAAAAAACTTTTGAATAACTTCTATCATTATGTGCACTCGGCAGTCATTTTCCATCGAAGCATTATAAGCATTAAAATGTAACGAATATATAAAAAAAAGTTGATGGGGCTGCATTTGCAGGAGCTATCTTTAAAAGCAAACCTGTCAGTCTAAAAATGTGGCAGCTGTCATTGCCGGCTTCTCTTTTGAAAGTGTACATGTTGTGCTGTAGTTTGTACAATTCTCTTGTAAAGCTTTGGCTTATGCACATGCTTGTTCCAGGGTAGAGAAAAAGATTAAAGATGACAGCCATGGAGCTTGTACCTTCAAAAACAAGTCTGCACTTCAATAGCTTATTTAAAGTGGAAAGTATCACCCTAAAGAGGACCTGTCTCTGCATGTAAGCCCCCCTAGGTGATGGCAATTAAAGCAAAATAAAAAATATGCCCATCCCACCATATCTTTGCAGAGTTTGATGGCGGTCTGACTCACCTGGTTTACAAAGTAGAGTTTTTTGTGGGAGACCCTAGCGCTGCTTGCATTTCTTTTTTCTTATCCTTCTTACATACTTATTATTTTCCTCTCTTCTCCTTCCTTTTTTTCTTCTCATTTTCATGCAGTCTATGGATTTCAGAATGTATGTCTTATGCCATGATGATAGTTGTTGAATACTCTCCTATAATGTCATATGCCCCAGTAGCCATCATGATATTTCTTTTGATCATGGTTTTATGATCTTCTGTTGCGAAAGTGTACCACAACGTACATACTTGGCCTGTGTGATTCTATTTCTGTTCTTCTTTATGACATGCAATATTTTACTTTAAACTAACTCATGGTAGTTTAAAATTCAATCAAACTTTTGTGAATGAAAGTTGAAAAAAAAAACGTTTTTAAAAAATATTAAAATAAATGTCAAAATAAGTGTGCATTCACCTAAACACGCATCACGTGCTCCTACATATGAAAATGACGATCATGCTATGCATGTTGGGTATCGCCGCGCATGCCAGAGTGAGAGCAATCATTTCACTGCC